GCCTTTTATATGTATAGATTATCGATTATGATTATTATTTATTTTCTGTGATCGGGATTCCCATCTGGGTAGAATGAGTCTTGCTCCTTCCTGAAAGATAGTGTTGGTGTCTGACCCTGCTTCTGGCACAACCAGGTGTGTTGAAGAAAGGGAGGATCTGATTACCGAGCCCCCTTCCCCCATTTTCCCTGAAACTTGTCATTAGCTTAACCAATGGACACAAGATACTGGGGGGTAGGGGAGGCCAGGGGAAGGTCAATGGGGAAGAAAAGGAGACATATGTACTACTCTTTGCAATACTTTAAGCAATAAAATAAAATTAAAAAAAATACATTTCAAAAAATTCAAAAAAACAAAACTGAGAGGAGAAGGCTGCAGGCCCTCCTGAGCACCATCACCCAGCGTCACACATTAGCACATTCTGACCCCCGCGTTCCATCTATGCCACACCTGTTTCTTTGGAAACAAGTACCAGACATCATATCTAATCTGTAAGTAGTTTTGTGTGCACCTCAAAAAAATGAATCACTACTTTCTAAAAAGGGATCGCAGTGTTTCGTGGGAGTGGCCAGAGCCCCTGTTACCTCCCGAGAATCCAAGGGCAGGAACTGTGAGTGGGCGCCCCGCCTTCGCTGTGTAAGGAGCAGGTTGGCTGGCTGTGGCGGCATTGGGGCCTGTCAGGACCTGAGCTGTTCACAGAGGGGTGCTCCCTGGAACCTCCGCTGCTGTGGGGTGGGGTTGTGTCCTCACCAGGCACCAGCAGGAGGGTCGGCCCATCCGAGGTGCCGAGCTGGTGGCATGCCCCTCTCTGTCTGCTGGGTGGGCCAGGGCAGGATGAGCTCAGAGAGTCCATGGGTTACAGAATCATGAGAATCCTTTCATATACATGATCTCCTGTCGCCCACCGCACTGCCCTGAGATAGTTTTTTATTATTTTATAGACAAGGAAACAATCTTGGACATTACTTGTAGTTTCTTTTTCACAAACATGGAGTAAATGGTGGAGGCAGGATTTGAACTCAGAACTTCTACCTGCATTTCCTATTAGATGAGAGCAAATCCTTGCATCTCAATCCCTGCTCATTTCCTGCCCATAAATGGAACTGCAGACGAAACAGTATCTCTGATGTTCATCCCAGTCCACTTGTTTGGCTCAGATTCTCAGCGGGGAAACCTTGACTCCCTCTAGTACTGCAGAGGGACCGGCGCGCCTCTTGGCACCACCATCCTATAGTATCCCTGTGGGCTTGGGGGTGCATCTGCTGGTCGCTGCTCCTTTGTCCCCTCAACAGTCGGCGTTCTCCAGACCTCCTCCTGGCCCTGCTGACCCACGGTTGTGTTTCTGCTTTTCCAAACTCTGTCCAGTCTGCTCAAGGCCAGGCTCTCCTTGTTAACTCTGGGATCCCTTCCTCGGTGTTCTCCGCAGGCCCTCGCAGGGAACGTGTTTACCATTTGCCATGGCGACAGTTTGGCCCTTTCCCCTCTGAGCGGTGATAAAATGGTCCAGGGCGCTCACCCGTCCAGCAGTTGGTTTGGTAATTCTAAGAGACTTGTGAAAAATGCGTGAGGCCTGGGATACAATAGATAAGCTGAAATGCTTGCAAGAAAATCCACTTGTGGATAGTGGGGTGACTGGAAAAGCTCTTTCTTTGCCCTCTCTGTCCTCGTCCCAAAAGAGATCAGGTTTAGGAATAATTCCTCTATGAATGTGGATGCTTTCATCCCGGGTCAAAAGCTGGTTGGCGCCTGCTTGTCACATATTTTCCCTTTTCTCTAGCTTCTTCCCCTCATGAGTTTGGCTTAAATTCCTGTCTTAATGGCTCTGAGTTCCCTCTTCAAAGGTCACTGCCCTGAGGCATAAAAGTGGAACCAGAACCGCCAGCTCTTCCTGGGAAGGGGTCACGTTTGAGGGGGGGAGGCAGTAGGAGGGCCATGTTTTGTGTGACTCAGTAGTTGGGGGAGGGTTGGGCCAGCCCGTCAACACGAGCATCTCTGCTCCTGCCTCCTTATTGGAAGGCAGGAGGGTATGTGTCCCTGCCCTGTGATGCCTCTCACACGCGGCTGTCTGTCCTGTTCTAGAACAGCCCCTGCGTGGCCTTGAAGTCTGCCTTGCTTTTCTCCAGTGTAGGCTCAGTCGGGTGAGGAAGCCGAGATCCAGATAAAGTGGCTTGCCCACGGTGACACTGGGAGGTGACAAAAGGGGAGCCCGGTTTTCTTGGTTTCTTCCTCTACACCGGGCGCTTCCTGTGTGTTGGGAGAAGGGGGGGACAGTTGAGTGCTTTTAGTTCATAACCCAGAATACGAACCCCTCGGCTAGGGCTGTGGATCAGTGGAGCGCAGCCTAGAAGGCGTTGGCTCATGCGCGTCTGCTGCGCCCACACGGTGCCGAGGGCTGTCGATGGAGTGGGGTTTGGTGAGTGGATGGCCTTTCAACATGAGGACACTAATGTGATTTCATACGTACGTGTGAGTCCTGGTGTCTCCTTGGCAGCGTTGACCTGGTTCGGAGGATCCTGGTTCGGAGGATCGGAGGATGGGGTCTGATGAAGGAATGCTGGGTAGTTGCCGATGGGGAGCCCACGTGGGGAGGTGCAGGCACTCAGGTGAGGCCAAGGTGTGGACCAGAGAGAGGAACGGGCATGGCCCCTCGACCTGAAGGATAAGCCTTCCTTGAGGACACCTCATAGCTTCGCCCACGTCCCCTGTGGGTGGCAGCGCCGGCATCGGCTGCTGGCTCATTCTGCCGGACCAGGGCAGTGAGCCAGGCGCTGAGCTCACTTGCCAACAGTCACCTCTCTCAAGAGGAGGAGGCGGGGGAGGAACAGGCCGTGAAGGTGGCTTTGATTCTGCACTTAGACCTACAGAATGCGGGGAGAGGACCTCCTGAGGGTGAGAGTGTGCAGGCCCCACCCATGGAGTTCAGGGGTGTGGGGGTGGGAAGCAGGCCTCCCATGTGTGTGCACTGCTGCCTGTTAGGGACAGAGACATTGTTTTAAACATTCAGAGAAAAGGACACAAATGAGCCCCTAACCAGACCCTCTGGCATGAAACTCAGTGGGGAGCCGATTTCAGAGAAGTAGATATGAATCTCTGGCTTTTGTGTTTGAGAGCTCTTAAAAATGATTGCTAGGAACCAAAATAGGCTCACTGAAAACAAGGATAATTCCAAAGGGAGCTTTATTTTTGCTGATAAGGTTACTAGAAAAGAAGCAGGACGGCTTTTTCCCTGGCCTTTGCTGACCTCCCAGGCTGCTCTAGTAGACTGGGCGGGAGGCGGGTGAATTAAGCTTATATACTCGTTCCTTGGGGTGGCTATTACCGAGTGCCTTAAAATAGTAGAAATGTAAGCTCACACCGTGAAGGCGGCTAGAAGTCTAAAATCAAGGTGTCTGCAGGGTGGGTTCCTTCGGGGGCACTCGGAGAGCATCTGCTCCGAGCCTCCCTTCCAGCTTCTGTGGGGCCAGTGGTCCTTGCCCCTTCTTGTAGCTGCATGACTTCCATTGCTGTCTGCACACGGCCTTCTTCCCATGTGTCTCTGTGTCCAAATTTTCCTCGTCTGAAAGACACCCGTCAGTGGATTAGGACCCCTCCTAGTTCAGTATGAACTCATCTTCACTTGATTACATATCTGAAGACACTGTTCCCAAATAAGGTCACTCTCACAAGGACCGGGGTTTAGGACTTGGACGGATCTGTTGGGGGTAGGGGTGGGGACACATGTCAACCCACAGTAGCAGCAGCTGCTGAGTGGCCTGCCTTACCCCATCTTCTCACAGAGCTCCTCTGGTGACCCCAGCATTCGGCAGCTTTGTCCTTAGAGCTGTCGGTGTCAGAGCCACAGGGATAGTCTCATTGCTGTGTTGGCCTGACAAGCTTGCCCTCACCCTGCATGGGGATTGGGGCCCCAGCAGTCACAGAGGTGATGGTGGCAGGGCCAGAATCCCTGGGTTCTTTTCCTAGAAACATTCTGCTCTGTCCTGTTGAATTGTTACAGATAATAGTTTCTGGTTCCACGTGCGCACTCGTATTCGTTCCCCAGGAAGATTGCGACTTCCTTAAAAACCAGTTCTGGCCCTGACTGGTTTGGCTCAGTGGATAGAGCGTTGGCCTGCAGACTGAAAGGTCCCAGGTTCGATTCCGGTCAGCGGCATGTACCTTGGTTTCGGGCACATCCCCAGTAGGGGGTGTGCAGGAGGCAGCTGATTGATGTTTCTCTCTCATCGATGTTTCTAACTCTCTATCCCTCTCCCATTCTCTCTGTAAAAAGTCAATAAAATATATTTAAAAAAACAAACAAAAAACACCAGTTCTGTTCCTTTTGCATTCCCATCGTCTGCTGTGAAGCTAGTGGGGATTAGAGCAGCGCTTGTTGGAGTGAGCACCCGAGGGCCAGCTGGTCTCCCGTGGCCAGTGTCTCTGCCAGGCCTCCCCACAGTCCCTCTAATGAGTCTTGGCATCTCACTGCCACTGGCCCTGCCTTAGCGTCCTCATCGGTGTGGGTGCTGGGCCTCTCTGTGCAGCCACGTGTGCAGTTGCTCGGGGAGCAGCACTGGTTTCAGGGTCTCAGCACTGCTCTACCTTTCTTGGCTGTTTTCTCAATTTGGGTTCCATCTTGAGTTTAGGCTCTGTCAGGCCTCTCCTCCAGATCCCGTGGGAACTGCTCCCAGCTACCCCGTTTCTGCGCTTCCTCTTCTCAGTGAGGAGAGCGCTCTTTCCCCAGAATTCTCAGCAGGAGCTCTGAGCCTGCCTCTGATTGGACCAACTCGGGTCACATAACCTCCCATGAGCCAGTGACTCCAGGGGCAGAATGCCCTGATTTGTCTCACCAAAGCCCTGGGATCTTGGGGCCCAGTGGGTGGAGGCCCCAGAGGGGACTGAGGGCTGGTGGGGGAGTGAGAAGACGGGGGGATGAGGTAGGGGCGTGTGGGGTGAAGTCTTGCTTGTTATCCACCGTTCAGCACGGGCCTCTCCTCACCGGAAGGGGTGTGCTTTCCTTTCAGGAATACATCGACGCCCACCCTGAGACCATAGTCCTGGACCCCCTTCCTGCCATCAGGACGCTGCTCGACCGCTCCAAGTCCTACGAGCTCATCCGGAAGATTGAGGCCTACATGAAAGGTATGGCCGCAGGCGGCTCTGCACCGTGGCGGCCCCCGCTGTGGTCACTGCCGGGGCGGGAGGGCTCTGGTCTGTGTGAGCACTCGGGGCGGAAGCAGTTGAGTTCCAGGGGCCGCACATTGTGGGGAGGCCCGTCCTCCCTCTCTGACCAGCAGAGTTGGGGAGTAAACGCCCAGAGTGCTCCTTGGAGAGCGGCTCCAACCACTTCAACATGCTTGGCTCTGTTGTCTTAAAGCCACGGAGTGGCCATGAAGTGTCCCCATAACACAGCGGTTAGAGAGCAGGCGTGTGTGTGGAAGAGCTCAGGGCGGGCGGGCGAGTGCAGTTATGTAACTGGGTGAAGGAGACAAACAGAAATTAAAGGGCCTTTAATCAAACACACGGAGCTGTGTAACGTGGCGGCTAGACTTCGCGGGGCACGCCGTGTTCTCGGGGCAGGAGCCTCCCTCTTCGCCGCAGGAGCTTCGGCTGCCAGATGTGGCCTCCTGTCCCTGGGGACCCCCCACCCCCACCTCCCGGGCAGGGCAGCTCCGAGGAGTCGGACTCCTTTCCAAGGTGTTTGTTTATGCCTTTTGGAAAGAGTCTTGTTAACAGTCACCCCCTGGTTGTCTGCCTGGCGAGGCCTTCCCTGCGAGAGCTCTTGTGTCATTGGAAGGAGACGTGCTTTGCCTGCGCCTCGGGCGTTGTAGGGATGCATCCCAGGCTGGAGAGGCAGCCCCTGCTCTGCCGTTCAGACCATGCGTGTGGTCTGCGCACACGGCCTGGAACCCTGACCTGGGTGACCTGCCTCAGGCGTTTTGTGTGCTGGTGGGACCGGTGGGCAGTTTGGCCCACAGGACCATGAGGGGAATGGAGAGCAGCATTTATTGGGTGTGCCAGGTGCCTGGTCCTGGGTTAGCCTTCTCCTTATACTTTCTCCTCGTGTGCTCACGAAGGAGGTCTCCGCCCTAATTTTATAGATGATGCGAAGGCTCGGAGAGGTCAGCAGACATACTGGTGTCACAGCCCGTCAATGGCATCATAGCCAGGTCTCTACCCAGGCTCCCTAGCTCCTAACCCCCGAGCTTGACTGTCATGCCCATGGCCAGAGGCCCTGCATCTAGCAAGCACCTGGCATAGGTGCAGCCATGACCCTGGCTAGGGGAGTTGGTGAGTTCTTGAATCCTTAAGGAACTTGCCCTGTGAGAGAGCTGGGTGCTGGACCTGGTCATCCTGTAGGGGGTCTCGAGGCCTGACTCCCTGGGTGCCTGGCTAGATTAGGTGGGTAGATCGTGGACCCGACTTCCAGGGAGTGGGGGCAAGTGGGCACACCAGCGCCCTTTCCTCCTTGGGTCTGGAGTGGTCAGTGACGATGTCAACTTCCCTCCTCTCGTGTTCCTTTCCTGGGTCCAACCAGAGTCCCCCGGGGGGGAAGGAAGATCTAGAGTGACGCTTGGGTGAATGTTGGTTCTGGAAAGAAAATCCGTCCCTTCCCAGGTGTGTGTGTTGGACATGGACTGTGTGTGGAGGGACAGGAGATTGTATGAATAGGTGAGAAGTCCCGGTGAGTGGGAGGAGAGGCAGGTTGGCAGCCATGGCTCGTGTCCTCAACAAGCCCATCAGAAGAGTGCTGGTTCTGGTTCTGGTGGAATTAGGGAGGCGCCTCAAAGGAGGCTTTCTCAGAGCAAAAGAGGCATTCCCCGCTTTTGGAGGGGACAGATAGATTGTATCCGAATCTGGGCTTTTTTAAAAAAAATATATATATATATATTTTAAATTAATTTCAGAGAGGAAGGAGAGGGGGGCAGAGATAGAAACATCAGTGATGAGAGAGAATCATTGATCGGCTGCCTCCTGCATGCCCCACACTGGGGATGGAGCCCGCAACCCAGGCATGTGCCCTGACAGAATCAAACCGTGACCTCCTGGCTCATAGGTCGACGCTCAACCACTGAGCCACACTGGCCCAAATCTGCACTTTGCTGCTGTGCGGTCTGGGCCAGGTCCCTGCTGGCTTTCTGTAAGATGTAGGTAACAAGTGGTTTATCCATGGGCTCCCGGGTGGGGGTAACTGGGATGATGTCTGACAGCAGGTAGCATGGGTGCCAGCCCATTGGGGCCACGGGAATGGCAGCTGCTGTTGCTGCTCCCTTATGATGGAAGGGGGTAAAGCATCTGGATTGGATCTTGAAGACATCGGGGCTGAGGGTCAAAGGTGAGCCTTGGCTTGGAGTATGAGCATGTCCAGACGGGAGCAGGGACTAGTGGGGATTGGGGGGGTAGGGGCTGGACCGCAGGGTGCACATGATGCAGGGCCGCCCTGGTGGGAGGTGCAGAGGGAGTGACAGCCTGGGCCTCCCAGGCAGGGATGTGAAGTGAGCAAAGTGGGGAGAGAGCTGAAATGTGGGGTGCTGGTGAGGGACTTGCAGACCATCGGGTCAGAGTGGAGGCTAGGAGTACCTCATGCAGTGGGTGCGGGGGGGGGGGGGGACTTCATTTGTGCACAGTCATTGAAGGCATGTGAGCTGGTGAGTGAGAAGACATTCTTTTCTTTTAATTAAAAAAATTATTCTCACCTGAGGATATGTTTATTGATTTTTTTTTTTTTTAAGAGAGAGGTGGAGAGAGAGAGGGAAACGTCAATGTGAGAGAGAAACATTGATCAGCTTCCTCCTGTACACATCCCAACTGGGGATGGAACCCGCCACCTTTTGGTGTACAAGACGATGTTCCAACCAACTGTGCCACACCTGCCAAGGCCAGAATACATTTTAGACAGATCGGTGCAGACATGGCCTGGAGACAGGTTCTAATGGCCATTACCTGTGTCCTGTTGTGAGGGGGACATTCACCCAGCCACAGGCCCAGGGGGCCTGGTGACCAGCTCCCAGTGGGGAATCAGACCCCACTCTGCTAGGTCCAGGAAACCTCAAACCTGGGCGTCCTTAGCTCAGGAGCTGCCTGCTAGGGGCACCCCCCTCCAGGCCTAGCAAGAACTGGTGGAGGAACCCTAAATACGGCCTTGGTCTGAGGCCAGCAGGAACTGTGTGGGTGGGTGGGCCGTGACTGCTGCACCCTGCGTTTTCCTTATCGGGCATGCCAAGCCCGGCTGGTATTATTCCAGGAGGGCAGCGAGGCCGAGACTTCCTATAGAGCCTTTTCCTGCCCCCGTCCCCCCCCTCATCCCCCCCATCCCTCCTGGAGCTGTTCATGGGGAGGGCTGCTGGCTCCTCCTCCCCCCAGAGGCCAGCTCCTCTGCAGATGAGAACCTTCTCTGGGAAGCGCACCCTGGCGCTCCTGCTCCTCCCCCCACTGCTGAGATTCCAGGAGGGACACAGCCTTTAGGCGTGCTGTAAACAGCTATAATTACCCTTTTAAATCCCTCAGACAGTTCTAGCAATCCCTGCGACACTGCTTTTGTGTTGGAAGCAGGGGCTTCATGGAGACTTCAGCCCCGTGGGGAAGCTGCTCTCCTGTCTTCGGGAGCTTGGGCAGCTGCAGAGAAGCCTGGCAGGCGGGAGGCTCTGCAGTGGGGTGGGCTGTGGGCACAGGGGTCCACGCTCAGCAGCCCGCTCCCTCCATGCAGAGCATCGGCTGTGGGGCAGGTGAGGCCCGCTGCCCGGAGCTCCAGCCGCACCTGTCAGGACCTGCACAGCCTCGGGTGGTCGGTGCCGTCTCATTTTACGTTCCCTGAGCTCTTCTCATTCTGAGTCTGGAGGGGAAGCAGGGTCCTTTTTCTAAGTCAGACCTGGTTCAGACTACCCCCCCCCGCCCCCCCCCTTTGGTCTCATGTACGAGCCTAGAGGAAGGTCGCCCGGTGGTTCTGTGTGGGACAGCAGAGACTGAGGCTTCCAGCGCATGGTGGTGTGGCCCTCCTGGTCCAAGGTGGTGCCTAAACTCAGCCATCACAGGATTTAGACGTAGGGGTGGAGAGGAGGGGGGCTAGGAACAGGGAAGCAGCCCTGGCTACCTTTAGGTCTGGAAGTTACGACACCATGCTTGGTTCACACACCGCTGGCCAGAATGCAAGTCACCCCTGAGCTGCTAGACAGTGGGGAAATGTGGTCTTTATTCGGGGCAGCGATGTGCCCAGCTAAAACGCTAAAACATTAACATGGATTCCTGCCTGGGGTTGAGTGACCTGGAATGACCATTTTCCCCGCTGCTGGCCGGGGGCGTGGCCCCAGCCTGGGACCTCAGCAGTAAGTCCTTCTCCAAAGAGGTCAGTAGGTGCAGAGTGACGCACCCCAGAGCGCCTGGGCCATGGGTTTCCCTTGTAGCCCCTGCTTCTGGGTGGGGCTGCACCCACCCCTTAGCCAGAGGCACAGATGGCGCTGAATCTGGATCCAATTCAAACCAAGGGCGGGAGCCTCCCAGAAATTAAACTGCCTGGGGCGGGCGGAGAGGAGGGCACGTTCCTCCCGTGCACACCTTCACGGGTCTTCTTTCTCAATGACACCCGCTCTGCCTTATAGGCCTGGGACTTTGAGATGGGCTCTGCCACCCCGTGCCCAGCGATTCTGGGCCAGGCAGTCGCCAGCTCCTGATCCTACTGGTGAGAAAGCACCTGGGCTGTGATTGGATGATACAAGCTTGTCGCCTTGGTCCTGGCGCAGCCGCTGGGGACCTGCCTCAGACCACAGGGCAAAGGGCTCCAGAGGCCCTTCAAGCTGATGGCAGCTGCAGGCGAAGGGTCGCTTTCCTGGTCTCCTTTTCCCGAGCCTCCCACACGTGTGCTCTGGGTGACAGATGGCCGTTGGACACGGGCCTCTCTGGGGAGGGCTGTGCACACCGCAGCCTGAGCGACACTGCCTGTGGTTTTATGGGAATTTAATCAGGGTGGGATTGAAATGGAGTGACCCAGACACCAAGTGAGAGAAAACAACATTCCTCACAGCCCAGGAGAAATAATTCCCACACAGCATCTGCCACTGGGTGTGTGGAGTTGAGGGCCTTTCACTCGGAGGTGGGGGCTGGCTGTCCTGCCCACCCGTGGCGAGCTGCAAGGTGCTCTGGGTGGG